TTTGATCCTTGGGCACTACTTTCAATACCTGCTTTAATCTATCAGGTCTGGCTTCCTGGTAAACTCAGTCATGTTTCCACAGTTCTCTTCACATCTCTTCTTGAAACTTTCCATTCTTGTAATTATCCCCTATTCTAACTATTAACAAAGATAGTAAGTGGAGAAAATCTCAAGATCTCCTAAATCCTGAAGAATAAACCAAATACTTAACTCTAGAACTGAAAGGATGCTATTTGATACAATGAGCAACTTTTGTTTCACAGGGTATTTAAACTCCTCCATTTACACTATACATTGGAGATGAACTGCTGGAATGTGTCTCTATATTCCAGACGGTCATTCACCCTGTTTCCCTTGTACCCAACTCAATAAGTGTCCTTCCTCCATAAAAATCAAGTGACTGTGGATGAAAAGGGGCCATATACTAAACCTCACAAGCTCAGGGGAGGCCTGCCTGGCGGCTTTACAGAGACCTAAGGATGATCTGAAATTAAAACTTTTTTAACCTAAAAGCGGTTTATGGTGGGTAGTCATGCCCTACGCCAGTATCTTCCCTGACAAAGGTCAATCTTTACCTTAACTGAGCCTATCTATTGTCTTTTTGCACCTACAATAACATACCGTTGGAATAATAATTTTCCTTTTTCTGGACCCCTCAAAGCACAGGCACCGCTGTGCAGAGACCATAAATCCATTGTTATTAATTACTGACTGTTAATTATCCTGCACCCACGTATGTAAAAGAAGTGTCTATCACTTTACTTTTTATCCAATCCCAGAGGTTTCCAAGTTTTGCATTCTCCCACCTCCTAATCTATCACCAATGAATTTATGTAACCCACTTCAGTCTCCTCTTTTGATTATAATGTATAAAAGAAGGTGCGTTGAGATTTTGCTTCCTGGCATTTGTCGAGTTTGGCTCAAATAAACGCACAAAAATTCTTCACAGGTTTGAATGTTTCTTACATTGACAGGACCAACGTTCTCCCCACAACACCCAGCAAGACTCTGCTGACAGGGATCTACAATCCAAGTGTCTGCAGGCAAGGGAGCCTACACGCTGATGCCGTACTGCTTAGATCTCAGTCCTGGCTCTCTTGCCAGCTGTGCAGCCTTGGGCAAACGGTTTTAACCTGCCCGTTTCCTGATCTGTAAAATGGGGATTATTCAAGCACCTGCCCCACAGGTTTGTTGTCAGGATTCATCATAATCCTACATAAGGTTTCTAGAAGAGCAATGGCACATGGAGGTACTCAACAAATATTAGCTATTATCTAATGTTACTTGGCAACTCAAAAGGAGAAATAGGACTCTGTCAGAATTCCCAATCTCCTAGACATTGAGTAGAGCTTGCAGAAGTCGCATGGCCATTGGTGCCTTCCAGGGAATTAGAAGTGATGCCCATCCAGTTAAGAAAAGGCAGGCTTCTCCCATAGCTTGCCTTTACCAAGTGCTTTAAGTGGTAACACTTCAGCTACAAATACCCAAAGCCTTCTACAATGTGACAAGGTATGATTCCAGATTAATCTCCCACTAGCTCCCGAAAGGAACCTTACTCTTTCATTCTGTTGCCTGAACACAACCTTGTCCTCTTTCCCCTCCTAAGCCATTATCCTGGAACTCCTATCCTCCTCCATTTAAATCACTCCACCTATTGAAATGCTACATCACTTCCAAACCTTGCCAGTTCAAACAAATCACTTGCTTTTATGCCTACTATACTGTTTCAATCTTTATTATTGAGGCTGAATCCTCGTTATGTTTTGTAAATCCTGTAAATACCTTCTCCCACTAGTATGAGTTTTGTGTGCACTATTTTTTATATATTGCAATGTTTAGCGCATATCTCGCACACAGATGCTCAATATTCACTAAATTGGAGAATCTGTCTTAATTCATTATGCCATTTTAACCCCAGGCACCTCTATGATTGAAATCTTAAAAGATGTGAATGAATTCTTAATTCTGAGCCAGATTCAGCATTAAGTTAGACCCTTTGTTTTGAACCTAAACACATCTACAGGTCTAAAGTCCTTTAACAGAAGACATTTGAGAATTATTAGAAAGGATTCTTTTTCTTACATTGGAATGCTAACCTTACAGACAAAACATTTTAACAACTACACACAACAAAACTCAAATGTACCTAAAGTTAAAATTAATACATTATGTCTTATCAGCTGTTTATCTTTTGCATGTTAAGTTCTAGGGATATGACATATTTATAGAAAAGGTGTCTGAAAATTAGATTGTAAATTATAATATATGGTTGTAACTATTATATCATCTATATGTGATTAACTAATAGACACATTTGAAATGCTTCTCAAGTTACATCTTGCTCTAGCCCTGAAGGAAGTTATCCTTGATAATTCCTGAGAAAACTGAACCAAATAGAATATTACTAGTCCCATAGTTTTAATCATCCTATATAATAAAACCCTAATATGTAAATCAACCGAACGGCAGAACGACCGGTCGCCATGACACACACTGACCACCAGGGGGCAGATGCTCAATGTAGGAGCTGCCCACTGGTGGTCAGTATGCTCCCACAGGGGGAGCGCTGCTCAGACAGAAGCCAGGCTCACAGCTGGCCAGTGCACTGGCGGTGGCGGGAGCCTCTCCCGCCTCCGCTGCAGGTGGGCAGTAAGGAGTGAGGGGTCCCAGACTGCAAGAGCACCGGACTGCAAGAGGGGTATCTGACTGCATGCTTAGGTGGACATCCCCCGAGGAGTCCCAGACTGTGAGAGGGTGCAGGCTGGGCTGAGGGACCCGGCCC